GCTAGGGAATTCAGGATGGCCCATTATCAGATGACAGGAGCAGCAAAGCGAGAAATATTACATTTGGAGTGATTCTCTGGCTTAGGTAAATGACCAGCGTGTCTCTCAGGGCAGCTGTTTGGCTGAAGAACAAAATGCCATTTCTAAACATCTCACTCACCATCGCTCAGTCCAAAGCACACATTTAAAAAAGAGCCACTGAGCAAGCTGTACACTATAAATAGTCTCAAAAGCTCATTTATGACCTACACTGTTGAAGTATTTGCAAATAAAAAGGAATAGTTACATTAATTTAAAAAAAATAAATGGCAGGTGTGGTGACCAGAATTTTAATGTTACAAATACAGTAGAAACCGTAAAAAAAAAAAAAAAATCACTTTTATTTTTGTAAAGTAGTACCATATTTGATCAATTTAAATAAATATATATATGCATTTCAAATGTATAATCTCAGAAAAAAAAAGGTACACAGTGGTACAAATAATGTTGCTTAAGAAACAGTTTTGTACCTCTGTAAAAGCTGTACCTTATAAAACAATACATAAGTGTTAACCAACTTCTTTATAACAATATCTATGAAAATAAATATTATTAGAAAGGAAAAGAGATTTTCGAATAATGTCCGTATTAAAACATGAATAATCATTTAAAAGCTTATGTTTAAAGAAACTCATAAACATTAATTATTAAGTTCTATAATACAAAACAACTGGTAAACCAAAACTATAGGTATTGTAAACTAAACATTTAAGGCATTTTTAATAATTATTTGGTAAGCAATTTACGATAAATACATTTTTTATTATAGATACCTGCGAATTTTGGCATTTGCTTTCCACTACACACATGAGCTGGCAAAAGTCCTGCATAAGCAAAGTGTTCATGCAGACATTTTACTATTGTAAAACTAATCAAACATTGTGCATATCTCATTACAATACTTTTACATAACTCTATTTCTATTTTTAAATTAAGTAAATTTAAAAAATTTAATTTTTACAATAAGAGATTACAAAGGTATTGAGTAATAATTGGAGAACAAAAATGTTTATATTGTAGATGGGAGAATGTATTTCTGTTACATTTTTGTTGTAAAATATTTAGCAAAAATAGATCTTTTGATTTATGTTAAAGTATTTTGACTCTTTATTGTAAATTGAAATTGTGCATTTACACAAAAATAAACTTCTTTAAAAACATTGTTTAAAAATGGATTTGATGTTTTATATTTACTGAAAAAAAAATGACGCATTTTGAATATACAGTAGCAAAATGCCTTTAAACAGTTCTTGAAGGAACACATTTGACACTGTTAAGGTACAAAGTGTCTTGTCACTGTACCTTCATGGATCAGATTTATACCTTTGATGAAAGTACAATATTGTATCTGCAGGTTTTAAAAACCAAAGGTACATTTTGGTTTCCCATGGTACAAATTATGTCCTAAAAGTTACAACCTGCAATGGTACAAATTTGTTTCTTTGTCTTAAGGTACATTTCTGTTCCATAAAAAGATACTGCCACAGTGACAAGGGTTTGTACCTTCTTTGATACAACATTTTACCATTTTTTTCTGAGAGTGTACTTCACTAATGAGAAACAAAAGAGCTATAAAAATGTTAACAAACAAAATAAAAACTATAAAAAGTGAAGTGTCATGCAATTCATGCATGTTCTGGTTTTAGTCAATTTGCACTTATTCATCATACAAAAACGCTGTTTACCAGGTAACAGATTTTTACTGTAGCACTTTACAGATTTTCTGCATTAAAATCCCTGACAATTTTCCAGTTCAGAGATTTGGTTATTAACTGTGTACTCTCTAGACTAATTCATCTTCTCATTTAAATGTTTGTTTCATCTAAAACATGCACTGACTTACATTCCAAAGCAACTTGTATAATGCAATTAATGTCAAAGAGGCAAACACATTCACAGTGAGCACACATTTCCCACATGCTGCTGTTACTATAATTTCTGATTGGTTTATATGGTCAATTTAAGGAATTTGTCCAGGCGAGGTGAACTAATTTTTGTTTAGTCTTATCAAAGGATATATATATATATATATATATATATATATATATAAATGTGTCATACTCTTGGCTTGTTTGGTTTCTGTTGTTCATAGCCCATTATCATATGGTGTAAGAGTTTTAATACATCTGTCCTAAAGTATATTCATTGTTTTAATGAATTGGAACAATTTGAGTCAGCTTCAAATTCTCAACAGTCCAATCAAAAAGTGTGATTTATAGTCAAGTACATAGACATGGGTATTATAGTCATTATTATATTATACTATTATAGTTTCTCTTTTTCTTTTTAAATGTGATGTGGGTTGTTAATGTGATTATTGTAAAATGTGAGAAATTGTCATATCAACATTCACATTTGTGTGTTTTTTCATATCTACTTAGTTTATTTTTTTTAAAGACATAGTTTTTTTTTTAATTTAGTAAAATGTACAGTCAGTGTATATTCTATTAACATCCATACACTGTATACAGTATATAGCCTATATGGCAATGTCTGAATTAAAGCTCTTCTATACGTCACCAAAATGATGTTAACATTAAGAAGAAATCTACTAAATTAAAGGAAGAAAAAAAACTGTGCTTGTCAAACCATTTTATGAAGTCACAGCCTCCATGCTTCAAATTATGCAGGCTTTATATTATACACTTTGGTGTCAATAAAAAACACTCAATCCTAAGTGAAAAACATTGACAATTAATTAGTAAGCTGCTCTTTTATGCAAACATCACTAAGCTGTTGTGCTAGTCCTGCCATGTGCTACTATAGGTCAGAGCGGTATCTATAGTTATATTGTTTGTGATTTCCCTCTGCCAGAATGTTTATAATGTCAGTAAATGCTAAAAACAGCAGATCCTTCTCTATCTAGGAGCATATAGTGCAGGTAATGATCTTCAGTCTCAGGCTTTGTGCTCTATCAGCCACTGCTGAGGCTTGTTGAACTCACAGAAATGAAAGTTTTACAGGATTTAAAGGATAAAAAGCACTCTGCTCTGGAATAGATGGATATATACAGTACTGCATATATAAACTTTCACTATATGCTTATGGGTAAATCATACATATGACATAAAAAGTGAGAATTAATTCTTAATTAGAAGATTTATTAAAACTGGGATAAAAAAATCAAATATTACAAAAATATATGATTATTTACATGTGTTTTTTTTAATCACAAACATATTCAGGCCTGTAGCCAGTTTGTTGAAAGGGGTCGTTATTTTTATTTTTAATTTTTTCTGAAAAACAACTGCACCTTGCAGTTATTAAAATATATGGTTTAATACTGTATTTTAGAGATATTGATCATAGCCACACTTTTTGATGTACCAAAAATTGTTCTTACCATCTTGCCAAATTACTTACCATACTATTTGACTATTTTAAGTGGTTTTTTTTACAAATGTGTTTTTAATCTGTAAGTTTCATATTACAGTTTTATAAATAATGTTGAGATTAGCATTTTAGATTTGAAAAATTTGAATTAAGAAATATGAAAAGATGCATATTTTTAAAAAAAAAAATTTTATTATCATCTACCATTATATATTGTTTTAGGGATCTGTTAAAACATGTTTTAAATTAAAACTGAAGCCTATACGCAAATAACAAACTAGCTATTACATTTAACTTATCTCATTCAGAATTTGGCCAATTGAATATTTCACAAACAATATTCAAACATAATATTAATAATAATAATCCAACAGAAGATTCCTCTTGGTCTTAAAGCCTTCTTTGATTGGTTAGTTTCCCAATTCATGATAGCATAAAAGTCAAACATGGGATAGGCTAAATGAGCCTGTATAGCGGACCAATTCTGGACCTTTGTCAGCGCGAGGTGGGTCTTTCAAACCACCCAAACCCCCCTGGCCATGAGCCTTATATTACTTAAAATGAGTAAAATACATCATTTCAATTTAACATTTTGATAAAACACTAAAAAAGTAATTATTTATTTATTCATTTTCTTGTCGGCTTAGTCCCTTAATTAATCCAGGGTCGCCACAGCGGAATGAACCGGCAACTTATCCAGCACATTTTTACTCTGCGGATGCCCTTCTAGCCGCAACCCATCTCTGGGAAACATCCACACATACACACACATACACTAAGGACAATTTAGCCTACCCAATTCACCTGTACCACATGTCTTTGGACTGTGGGGAAAACCGGAGCACCTGGAGGAAACCCACGCGAATGCAGGGAGAACATGAAAACTCCACACAGAAATACCAACTGAACTGATGTTCGAACCAGTGACCCAGCGACCTTCTTGCTGTGAGGCGACAGCACTACCTACTGCCCCACTGCTTCGCCCAAAAGTAATTATTATGAAATTAAATTAGATAAATTTTAATATTAGAAAAGTCATAATTATCTCAACTTTTTAATCACAGTTAAATGACATTGTATGTCACAATATCATCTTTTATTAATTTTAAAACAACTATCATATAAAAAAACTGTTCAATAATTATGACTATTAATCTCATTTGTCTAATGTGATTATGATTTACCAAAGCACAATTATCTCCATTCATTGTAGAAACTTTTAAGCGTTCTTATAGACAATACGTTGACAAATGATTTAATGCAGGTCTATTTAAATGCAGGTAGTTTAAAGGCTGTTAATACTTTTGTATGTGATTTTTCAGGTTTTTTTGTTTTAATAAATTTGCATAGTTGTCATTTTGGGGTATTATGTATAGAATTTTGAGGAAATAAATTAAGTTAATCCATTTTAGAATAAGACTGTAAAATAAAAAATGTGGAAAAAGTGAAGCGCCATGAATACTTTCCAGATACACTGTATATGCCTATTTACTCATGGCATTTATTAAAATAAAACAAACGAATTACAGTCCATTAAATAAACCCAATAATTCACTAAACATTCAAAATCTTCAATGCATGTGGTAGACAGGAGGAGAAATAAGTGAGTTGTTGCACACTCATCTTACCTTGCCTTTATCCCTCATTGAACCCTTGCCAAGGATGGACATCTTTGCTCCCGTTTCCTCTTGTAATCTTTTCATGGAATTGCCCCTGGGCCCCAGCAGTTTCCCAACAAAATTAAACTGTAATAGAGGAGAGAAAAGGCAATACGGTTGGTCTCTCACACTGCCTGCATCCTAGACGGCTGCCTCAGTTACCTCACACTCAATAAAAACATTTGAAAGTAAGCTGGTTTTTCTCATCATGCACAAAACCAGTTACAGCGGGAGAATAAAAAACTCTCATTTTTTGGTTCAAAATTAAATCTACGCCAGTTGTGGATCAAGCATATTTTCACGGCTTGCTTTTTGAAGTTTGTCAGAAGCGATCAAAAAGATGAGAGTCTACACCTGTTTCTGCAGGGCACCGCAGCTGCTCATGTGTCTAATCGATGTTTGGGGTCAGTGGTTGGGCTCCGCTGCTTTCAGAGATATTATAACATGTACCAAATGCCAAAAGGGATCTTCAAAACCATCCAGAAGTCCATGCTTGAATGAGGCATAACATAATGAGTTCATTTCCAATGGGGATTCGAGTAATACTACCCAGATGACGAGCAATCCAGCAACTGCTTTGGGGCAGCAACTAACATTTCAGTCAGATCAGCGGTCATTGAGAACACTTGGCCTTCACAGTTTTTTTCCACCCGATTTCTATTGTTTTACCGCCTGTGCATCATACGACTGTCTCTTCAAGGGATTTCTGATTCTTGCGCACTGCATTCAGATTGGGGTTGCTAAGGATTGTCTAATGCCCCTGATAACAACCCATCTTAAGTAGTCAATAAATGCTGCCATCGTAAGAAAAAGTGCCCTTGTGTAAAACGGTGAATCAGATTGCCTTTATAACAGTGTCACTTCATCACTGTCTGCTCACGTTCAGTGTTCATCATTTTCTCTGATGTATTGCCACAATCGCCGTAGCCAGCAGCCCCTCTAAATTCACTTTAGACTAATGTTATTTTTGAGATATGTTTTAAAAACAGCTTTTTTTTTCTCAGGACAATAAAACATAACAAGAAAGTGACTCTTTACTCTTTCTATATATGTGACTATACTGAATATAAAGTACATTTGAAAGTTCAGATGCAAAAGTCTTAGACATGTTATACATTAGCATTTGTCTCAGCCTCCTTTTTGTATTTCAGTCATTTTACTTTTATGGCAAAGAATATGTGGTTTTCATTGCCTCTAAAGTAAAATATTTGAACATTCTGTAAACATAGGTGGGCTGAGTAAAATGCTTACTTTACGAGAAAATTTTACATATGGCACTTTTTTGCACCTGAACTCATCATAGACTATCGAGAGGGGTCTGGCTGCAGACTCTGTGCAGATGCAATCTGAGCTGCATGCAATGCCTTTGAAAGAACTCACCTAACCCCACCCCTAACCATCACAGTGATGTCACTTGCTTCATTAGCTTCATTTCCATCCACCTATTTTTATTTTGGATCAGTTGATGGAAACGCCAAGATGTGCATAAATTTTGGTAATGCGCATAAAAAACACGCACATAACTGAGTCAGCTTGCATCATAAAGGCTGCATTCAGATACTATCAGATGGCAAAAACCTAATGTACTAAAATTAGACATGCTATCTGCTGAACAGGAAAGAAACATTATTTTGTAAGGTCAAAGGAACAGACAGGTTTAAAATGTTGAGAATAGGGGTTTCACAGAGTAGTTCACTGGTCGACTTTAATGCACTCAAATCAAATCAAATGCAGAAATCAAATTATTTGGCTTAATCTGATTAAGATGCAGTGGCACAGTAGGTAGTGCTGTCACCTCACAGCAAGAAGGTCATGCATGGGTTTCCTTCGGGTGCTCCAGTTTTCCCCTTAGTCCAAAGACATGCAGTACAGGTGAATTGGGTAGACCAAATTGTCCGTAGTACATGAGTGTGAATAAGTGTGTATGGATGTTTCCCAGAGATGGGTTGCAGCTGGAAGAGCATCCGCTGCGTAAAACATATGCTGGATAAGTTGGCGGTTCATTACGCTGTGGTGACCCCAGATTAATAAAGGGACTAAGCCAAAAAGAAAATGAATGGAATTATAAGACAATAATAAGATTAAGGTGTTTACATGAGTTACTTTTGGACTGTTCCTTTTATGATCCCATTTTACATGTTATAGCACATAATATGATTAACGTCATTGCATTACCAGGCTATCACTATTTCCTCGGGAGTTTCATGTAATTTCAGGTGTTTCCTTTTTAGTTTGTCTACTTCACTGATGTTTTGCACTTTCACTTTCATTCAGGAACATTTTATGCATGCCCCGCGACAAGGTATGACAAGGTATTGGATGCGAGTATGAACTGCTGGAAGGGTGTTATTTTAATGAGTTTGATACCGCATGTCATATGGGGAAAAATAAAAATTTAAAAATTGCATGTCATTTTGCGATGAAGGTGTCTGTGGTCCTTCACTGACTTGGTAGTTGCAGAGAAAAGTGTCAAACAGCTGTGTGTATATGGAATATTCTGTCACAAAATGCGGTGAAAATCCTACATGACAGTAATAATTTGATTACCTTGATAATGTGACTGAAGTCCGCATACTCCACCTGTCTTAATTCCATTTCTGTTTAGTTTAATTATGACCTTAGTCAGATTAAGGTAATTAAAAATCAGTGTTAACATGGTAGACACTCACATTATTGTCTTAATCGTATAAAAATTGTATTATTGGTGTCCATGTAAACCTACCCAATGGCTGTCCCAAAGAAGTGGACCAATCAGAAAAACTGATGAAGGTGGCTTTGTGTTTCTGTTTACAGACAACTGTTTTATTTGAAAGAAACATGGCGTGGGAAGCATGCTTCATTCCTGGCACAGTTGAAGGTGAGAAATTCAGCAGTGAAATGTCCCACTTGTGTTCCACTCAAATGTCTCAATGTGTTCCAGTCAATCGCACGTCACGGTCATATTTTCACCACATTAGATTTTAATAACATTTCTTGTTTAAAAATGTATATAAAATGCTAGATGTTCTCATACAGCTGTTAGGAGCTGTCTGGGGAGCTCCATGCGATTCTTTAAATACAAACACCTAATCACTCTCTTATCCCTACCCCTCACAGTTACATCACTAGCTTCATTGAATGCATTGTGTCATTTTGTGCATTTGAGACTGCATGTCTCAGCTTGCATATGCAAGTTTGCATTCAGATATTATTGGATGTCTGACAGCATTTGTATTTTTTCCCTCTAAATAACTGGTAATAATAAAGGGTATTTTGCAAAGCTTTTGAATATTGTGTTTAATTATTGATGCCACAAGTTTCTAGTAGACACTGACTTTAATCACATAAAAATCGACTTCAAAAATCTAAAGTCTTCCAGCCCTTAGAATCGTCTTTTCTTTCCTTCTAAGAGACAATAACTCAATTTATGGTACAATTTGGTTTTGAAACATTACAGATTCTCATGGAGCCACAGTGAAAGCACTGGACCTTAACTTTAAGTATTCTGGACACTCTGACACTCTATAATTTTAGACTTGTTTTGCTGTTACCTGTTGCTAGTTTCCAGCCCAGTGAGCCAGACATTACTAAGGAAAGTGAATTTGCCCTTCAAATGTTTGCAAAGGTTAGCTGATATTTGGCGGCCAGAATGAAACAGTTGGCTATAACACGTGTTGACATACCCTGCCTAGCACATGGCTGGAAACTCCTCAACACATGCTCATCCCAGCTAGGCTGCAGATGCAGCTGTAGGAAACTCTAGCAGGCAAAATGCAGAAGAAGTGTCACAAAATGTGTCCAGAGCCACAAAGCAAATGTGCACGGTTTCAGGTGAAAGGGTGAGGTGTGTGTAGGGCAGTATATTTAGCAACATTGCAGCACTGCACCAAAGCGCCATGACCAACCTCTCTGGGAGCGGGTGCGCTGGAGGTGTGCCGTTTGCATCTCCTCTGACGGAGTGTGTATGACAGGAATACTCTGCAGCTGGCTGGGTGCCTCGGAGCAGATGGTTGCCTCAGCTACAGTGTGAAGATGCTCACTGGGCGGCTGCAGTGGAGTGGCCTGTTTTCATTAAGCTAATGAATGTCTGGAGCTGCTCTCCTGCTCCACGGTGGGCAATTTAGGCTTTATTAGGGGGCACAGTTCAGTGCTGGATGAGGTTTGAAGCTATGCAAGCTGTCCCTCGCAGTCTCTGGCAGAGGCAGGCCACAGAATGATGGGCATTATGCAGCACTGACAGGCTGAGGACGATAAACCTGACAACCAGAGGCATAAGTGTCAATCGGCATTGCCTTATTATGAGCAAATGAGACTTCTAAGAAAGAATACGCATGGTGTGCTGTTGTGATGGAGGCTAGATCACAAAAGCCCACACTGCTAGTGCCTGGATCAGCATGCATGCGTGAAAACACTGCAAAATTCCTGGGAAAGCATCCTCTGCAGTGTTTATTGACAACTTCAAAACCTTGGATGGCTATTCACTGGGCTGTCATGCAGAATCACTTATTTTTGGAACCCACTGTGAGTTTAGTGTGTGTGTGTGGCTGGCTGAACAAATGACTTTTCACACATGAGTCCCTTTGACAGGGACCTTCACCTGTGCTCGGCTCTCTCTGATGTGCATTACATTGATTTCTCTGTCAAAATCTTTTCAGAAGCTATTCAAGACCACTGAGGTCTTGTTCAGCTTCATACTGGCACGAGCACCAGACACATTTTATCGTCATCATAACACTCATCTTATTGGAAACATTTCTTTAGATTTGTCAAATGGAGAATGACTGCAAAATGCTTTGCTAGCTTTGAAGTCAGCGTTTGATTAGGATTTCCACTAGATATGTTGCATCCTTTACCAGTGCCCTGTTATCCCTTTTCCACCAACATGGTTTTGTCTGTGCAACACATTTCAGAAAGAAAAGAGGTTCTGGGCTGAAAAAATTGGTTCAAATCTGATCATAATCCTGATAGCCTCAGAGCCAGAAAGCAGAGAAAGCAGTGCTGACATTGTGTATTGCAGTCCCAGTGAAAAATGCAAATGGACTTATTTTTTTAAAAGTCTAAATATGCAGCCTGACATGAAAAAGAGTGAATAAATCAAGGATCTCAGT